GAAAAATATTTTTTAAAATTGCTTTCTTTAAAAAAAAGAAAAGCAATACGTGAACCCAAGACCGCTAACTGGTCACCAAAAAAAATATGCTGAATTTTTGTTTGCTTTTGAATTGAAATAATTGACTGTAAATAGAATAAAATAATGATGATGTTAAAACACCTTTATTAAAAATGTGTAATTGTGTGTAGGTTCTTGCACAAGTCAGTTGAAAGCAATGTTGGATAGTTGTGAATAGAAAAGTGTATATACAGCTACTATTTGAATATACATTTTAAGGCTCGACTATTTTAATTATTACTTGGGATTGTACACTATTTTTTCATAATCCTATTGTAAATCCCAGTTTCTACAAACCGGATGTCTAATGCAAATTGCACAAACCAATCTCAATATAAATTTCAGCGCACAGTTTGCTTTATAATCTGGATGCATTTATTTTATCTATCATATCTTCATATTTTGTTTCCTGGATGCCTTCAATTATTCTTAACTCGTTATTTAAGATGTCTGTACTCATGGTTGATGTGTATAGATAAATTTAAAGTCCAATTTCCATGTGAAGTGAAACCCTGTGGCATGCAACTTATAAGAAGTTTTCGTATATTTTTCTTCAGAGTAACACACCAGCTTTATTGGGACCTTTTATATAGAGACTTATTTTGGTCTCATAAAACATCTCCAATTTTAAGGATTTCCTGATTTTACTTAAATCAATCCAAATATTCTACAGGAAAACTTGGTTTTGAAGAATATCTTATTTTCAGAAGTTTTATTAATACCTGAACATACTCTCAGAAGAACCAATTTATATAAAAAGATATGTAGATATAAAAAGAAACCAGGATTAAAATGTTGTACGCCAGACGCGAGTTAAGTCTACAACGAAACATCAGTGAAAGAGGGGCGAAAGATACCAGAGGGACAGTCAAACTCATAGATCGAAAACAAACCGACAACGCCATGGCTAAAAAATAAAAAGACAAACAGACAAATAATAGTACACAAGACACAACATAGAAAACTAAAGACTAAGCAACACGAACCCCACCAAAAACTGCTCCGGAAGGGTAGGCAGATCCTGCTCCACATGTGGCACCCGTCGTGTTGCTCATGTTATTACAAATCCGGTAAATAGTCTAATTCGGTAGGTCACATTCGTGGTGAAAAAGGAAGTGGATTGTAATTACGACATAAGGAACATATCCGATATCATCTGTGAAACGGTTATTCCATAACGGTCAATCAACTCGTGATGGCGTCCGTAAAATTTACGAAGGGATGATTTCAACTTCACCATTTGGAACTCTTGGTTTAATAGCTTCCTTGTGAGCAGCAACCCTCTATCAAGGAAATCATGATAGGAAATACAAGCCTGGGAATATCGTATCAATTGGGAGATATATACTCCGTATGCAGGCGCTGCTGGAATGTTGCTACATAGAAATGGAAAGTTCACAATTGGGAAGCTGAAATCATCTCTTTTGTCGTAAAGTTTTGTTTTCAACCGACACTCATTGTCAATTTCTAGATTTAAGTCAAGATATGATGCAGACTTAACTGTATCTGTTGTATCCTTTATCTCTAGTTCGATGGGATAGATGCGTTAAACATAGTCACCAAATTTTGAATTATTTAGTGAAAGAACATCATCTATATAGCGGAAAGTAAAGTTAAAGGATATTGCTAACTTCTTATTACGTCGAATAAAAAAAGTTAAAAAGGCCAAATAAAGTACGAAGTTGAAAGGAATTCAGGATCCAAAATTTCGAAACAAAGGTTTTGCCGAATACATCTAAAGTAATCTATTCCTGGGGTAGAAAATCCTTAGCATTTCGAAAATGTCAACGTTTATAATAGGACAGTGACCCAAAAAAGAAAAGAAAAGAGAAACTGCTAGATGTCAGAATATCGTAAGTAACGATGACCATGCTTGAAAGTCACATGTCAAGCTCTTACTGCCGTGTCCTGAATTTAGATAAGAAAAGCGAAAATTCACATTCGCGAGCGAAATTAATATTTATGCATTTACATCCTTTTTTTGCGCAAGAAATAGTAAAAAGAAAGCATACGCACTGATATTCTGGATAAGAATACGCATTTGCGTCTTCACATAAATAAATCTAATAGTTGAATTCGGATGTCAAACTACCTACCTCAAGTGTTTTGACTCCGGATTCATTGCCATTTAATCTGGAATTTGTGTGAACGCAAACCGATAGTGTGCGTGTGAACAGGGTGATATATAATGTGAATGTACCAAGACGTGTAGAATAGCTGGTCAACACAATGAATACAATTTTCAAAATCGTACCATAGTGCAAACAAACAAAAAAGAATTGAAATTTTATAATTAACAGACGTTCCTGTTAATGATTTTTTTCCGAAAATTTAGAATATAATATCAATAAACACAAAAGTCAAATATTTACGGATGGACATTTTATTTATCAAAGCAATCTCTTCTAGTAATAAAATTTTGTTATGGTTATTGTAAAATATCTATTACGTTTTTTGTGAGATGCAAGGATTTAAAATCTTTGTGAATTGAAACCATGCAAGTATTTTTTTCAATCACGACCGTTTACAATCGAGATATTTAGCTAAGTTGGGTACGCATCCCTGCTCATTGTTGCTCATACGTTGTATATAATTTTCATAAATGTAATGACTGTTCAAACCCGTGAGACATAATGCACGTCTATATGACAATTTTAATTATACATGTTATATTCAATCTGTTAAGAATAAATTCAGTCTCAGTTTAAACTTAATAATGAATATTCTCTTGGTCTGGTAGTATTTATTAATGAAATTAGATATTTTTGACAGAAACATCCTTTTGTTAAATTATCTTTCTGCTTTACGACCACTGTGTTTCCGACCTAAGATAAATATTTATAACAGAAATATCGTTTTATTAATTTTCTTCATGCTTTCCGACATTTTCCCATGCTATGATTGAAATACAAAATATCAAATGATAAACGTTCAGAAATAATCAGTTTTTTCTGGGACATTGTATATCAATAAACTATTCCCAGGTTTATTCTGGACCCCCTTTTTTCTAAATAGTTCTTTTGTATTTTAATATATTTTTTTTGTAGATTTTGTAATATTCACTTATTTAATGTGTTCTTGCTCTTATCCATAAGATATTATAATAAAATTAGTTCAATTATGTTCCACAGAGGGTAAAAATATATATTTTGACTACTGTTATGTATTATCGTATAGATGAAAGCAAGAATTCATTAAATACATGTAAATAATTTTTAGTTTAAACAATATTTATTCAGATAAATCATCACATGACGATATTCAATTGAAATAAGTATTTAGGATTCAGAAACAAGCAAAGGAGTAGGCCCGGTAAGACCGGTAAGATCGGTAAGATCCCTCTTTTGCCCCAAAATATAACATTTTTACAAATTTGTTAAAATGTAAACTTTTAGCTATTTATTGGAAAGTAGAATACTTCTGTTCCATAAATATGGGCTGTTTTTGACAATAAAATGCACATGCGTCAGGTAATAGCATCATAAATCCATGCAATATTACTGAAATCTTCACAATTTTAGCATTTGTGCTCATTTTAAGACGGTTTTTGTCTAAAATGGAAGTGGCCGCATTTGTGTTCAGTCTTAATATTTTTAAATATATGTTGTATTTGATGATAATACATAACATATATGAAGGTTGAGACTGAACACGAATGCGGCCACTTACATTTTAGACAAAAAATCTCTTAAAAGTTACGTTTTTATGGCATATTTGATAGATTTTTCATATTTAAGCTTGAATTTGAGCGTCTTTAATGACTAAATCAGTCCAAATCTTTTACATAAACTATTTGAATCGACTGAAGTAGACACCGTTAAGTGTTTAAAAAATGTTAAAAACCTTTCATCATATGTACTTCAAATATTATGCCAAGACTAGCCCTTACCGAACCTTCTCCTTTGCTTTTACAAATCTGTCTCCTTTTACACAAATAATACACTTATTGAACATTACATTAATATAAATACTGGCATGCTCTGTAATAAAGATATAAATATGAAAAATACGATAGAGAAAAAAGTAAAAAAATAAACATGAATTTTTGTATTGTATACGGTACAGTGTGAAATGCTTGGGTTCTTATTGAATAACGAAGCAGTAACATCAAGGGTTAAAACGTTTACTTTTGATAAATTAATGTACTTCTGCGCCAAACTAAATAAGTGACTATTTTGCTCATCTGAGAGTACCGTTGATCCAAAAAGCAAAATTTGTGTGTCAACTTGGACAGGAAGAACTGAAACAGAAGCTAATAGTTCATGTCTTAAATCGGTGTATATGGGGTAAGATAACAGGAAATGAACATTTGTTTCTACATCACCACAACGATAGTTAGGGGAGTCTACTAAATTACGAAGGAATATGTGAGAATTCAATGAACTTGAATCCATTCTTAAACGAGCATGGACATAGTTTTTAATATAAACAGAATATTTACTAAAAATATAGAACGCAAAAAAAAAATATGAAAGAAAGAGGGGTCCATTCCCTAAACGCCTTTTATTTAAATTTATTTTCAAACGATGTGACTATTGCTAAAATTGGTGTTGAAGAAGTGGTTTGTATATTCTCAGAAATGTTATAGAAAAGTTATATTGACACCATGAAAACTTTTAACACGATTAAAAAAAACAGTCGAAAGCAAATTTAAGACAAACGACACTGAACAAAAAAAAACCAAACAAACAAAAAACAAACAAACAAAGACACATAGTGTACAATGTTTTATTCATATTGTACGTATCGGTGTCGAAATTTAATACATTATTATTATATATGAACGCCAAAGTAATTTAATCTGAACATGTCAACAGGTGTCGCAGTTTCAATTAAATCCGAAACATATTGTATTATATGTCTCTGATTGAATCAATAAAATTGTATCGCCTGGAATATTCTGTGAACCTTTGTATATGACATACAGCTGCTGTCTTGTTTGACTTTATTTCATTCTGTCTCTTCTAAAACTGGCTTAAACATGTTTTTTTTTGTCAAACGGGAAAACTAGTTTAAAACCTATTGGTGCCTCTGCTAAGATTCTCTCAGGAGAAGATAACTCTAAAGAAAAGTTTGATCTTCCTGTTGATGTTTCACCTGACCAGCTGACATGTATATTGTAAGGTTGTTCAACGTGTGAATAGATTATTAAATATTCCGTGATATGGTGTTGTGGACACTTTAAAATGCCATAAAATATAGATTATTGCATTCAGCTAAATAAATGACTTTTCGAAGAATGAAAGTAATTTTTAGAAGAACCATTCTAGGCAACATAGCTGCACTTTGTTTTGTTGCGTCTATTGTAGTGCTATACTTGTGTTTATTAAGATACAATACAGCCAATACACATTTTGACATAAGATCTCATGATATAAAGAAGAGGTATATCAGAGGTGAACCACTGCAGATCAAAGTTCCTTGGAAGAAGCTGCTACATTCAAATGTCTACAAAGGAAAAGGGGGTAACTGGTCTAGAAGAACTGGCCCAAACTCACCATTGAGTTTGTTTGTAGTAGAAGAACACCATGAAGGTATATCATTATACCAGTATTGTTAATCTTGACGAGTGTATTATGCTTATTTTAAGAATCCGTATGAAAGGGATTAGTCTATGAATGAAAGAGAAATCTACTACACTGTAACACATGTTAACTAGTTAAACAAAAAGAAAGATAATTATGAACCTTAGTCTGTTGATACTATAAAGATAAAGATGCCATGAAGGGAGGCTTAATGGAAGACTTGCTGAACATCTAGTCGTCTGTATGTGTAGAGTACTAGTACAGCCTAAAAAAATTAACAAAGTTTACACTTTAATTTAAGCTCTACATTGTAAATGTAAAAGGTTGCAGGTAAACCATTGTGAAAAATTTAAAAGACACATGTATAATCAATATCAACATCTACATGTGTATGACTTATCTGTTCCATTTAAGTACATGTAGTAGTGCCCAAGAGTGTTTTAACTCCTAGGTCTACATAGAAAATCAAGTCCAACAGAACTTTGTAATTGGAATCACACAATATAAGTAATGGTACACAAGGTACAGGTTGACCCACTTTGCAGAACCGATATTTGACCTATTAAACTTAATATTAATTTGTTCTTATACTTCATACATGATCATGTATTTATGAAATATTTGCCATTGGATGTTAAACAAATGATGATTAACATGATTGATGATTCATTCAGTCATTTCAGCAATCAAGTTTAATTTACTCCTGATCAAATATTTGATTTCATTACCATGCATTCATTCTCTGACATTTCTAAATAATGATTATAATGCTGATAATTCAAGTTTGTACTACCTATAATATACAAAAGTAGAACTTTCTTTACAAATACCTGTATCACTGCATCTCATAAATTTTTTTGGGGCATCAAAACGGTGTCAAAATTTAGTTGAAAATCATAGGTGTCAATTTTTCAAACCTCAAAAGTGGGAGATGCAAAATGTGTTACAGGGTAACTACACAAATGTACAAATATATTTGAAAATGAATAATCTGACAACCAAAAAGTGTTTTTATAAACATATGATACAGCAAACATTCATGTTGTTGTACAATGTACACTTTTTCATCCTGGGCCAGGACAGGGTCTTTTAAAGCTTACTATACAGTTTGGTTTTTGCTCATTGTTGAAGGCTGTATAGTGTCCTGTAAGTGCATATATCTTTGTCATTTAGTCTTAAATGAAGATTTGTCTCATTGCCAATCACAATGTTCTCCCCAGTGATTTCAAATAGTGAAATACATGTAGCCCCACTGGATTTGAAATACAGGGGTCACCACAGATAAAACAGTCAAGTGTAGAGCTAATGAAATAATTATTTCAACTTGAAAAAAAGACAAAAAAACTAAACTTTACTTATCATGCTTATAACATGTATAATAATAGTAAATACATCTTGTATTTCCAAATTATACTGATTCTTCCAAACTTATTTCATATAATCTAAAATTTGATGTTTAATATGAAACAAGAGTGGTACTGGAATTCTAAGGGTAATGCTAAAAATTCAAGGGTGGAGGAGTTAAATTGTAAATAAATTATATATACCTGATTGACAGAGCATGAGAGGGCAAATTAATCTAGATTGATTGATTGTTGGTTGCTTAATATCTAGTGGCAAATATTTCATTCATGTTCAGGACGAATCTAGAAGAAATAAACCTAACTGTCAAGTTGTCAACTTTTTACTAAAACTTAAAAATATACCTGTATTTTTGTGTCCTCTGCTTTTTATACGACCGCAAAAAAAATTTGAGGTCGTATATTGGTATGACGTTGGCGTCGTCGTCGTCGTCCGGCGTCGTCTGAATACACAATGTTTTCGCACTCTAACTTTAGTTTAAGTGAATGGATCTCTATGAAATTTCACCATAAGGTTCAATACCACAATAGGAAGGTGGGGATTGATTTTGGGGGTTATGGTACCAACAGTTAAGGAATTAGGGGCCAAAAAGGGGCCAAAAATAAGCATTTTTGTAACTTCCAGACATAACTTGTGTGTTAGCATATGGATCTCTTTGACATTGTACCACAAGATTCCATATCACAAAGGGTCAATGCTGGGATTGATTTTGGGGTTAATTGCCTCAAAATTTTAGGAATAAGGGGCCAAAAGGGGGCAAAAAATAAGCATTTTTCTAGTTTCATGACAATAACTTGTGTGTAAGTGTATGGATCTTTCTGAAATTTTACTACAAGGTTCCATTTCACAAAGGGAAAGCTGGAATTGAGTGTTGTGGTAATTGCCCAAAACGTTTAGTAATAAGGGGACTAAAAAGGGGTTTAAAATAAGCATTTTTTAGTTTCTAGACAATAACTTGTGTTCAAGTGTATGGATCTCTCTAAAATTGTATTACAAGGTACCATACCACAAAGGCAAGGCTGTTATTGAGCTTGGTTTGGGGGGAAAGGGGGGTGGGGGTGATGAATCATAAGGGGGGCGGGGGTCAAAAAAGGGGTAATTTTTTTTTTCCTTTTTTTTTTGTTTAAAATTTACATTTTAAGTTAGTTATTTTTTATCACAAAGAGAAAGTAGGAATTGAGTTTTGGGGTTAATTGCTCAAACATTTATGAATAAGGGGCCAAATATTGGTCAAAAATAAGGATTTTTTTAGTTTGCAACAAAAACTTGTGTTCAAGTGTATGGATCTCTGTGAAATTGTATTGCAATGTTCCATACCACAAATTGAAGGTTGTGATTGAGGTGGGGGATGATGAATCAAAAGGGGGTTGAAAAAATGTGTGGGAGGTAGGATTTTTTTTTTTCATTTTTTTTTCTTTAAAATTTTCCATTTAAAGATGGTTGTTTCAGATTTATATATGAAAGAAAATAATAATGATACGGTTATATATCATGAGGAATTGAAATTTAAAATTATTTATATTGGAAATTTAAGTTACATTGGAAAGTAATAATTGGCTTGGGGGGGGTGGGGGGGGGGGGGGTGGGGTGGTTATGGCTCTAATGTTTAAGGAATAAGGGGAAAAAAGGTTAAAAAACAAGGGTTTCCATTTTAATAGACAAATAATTGAGTAAAGAACATTATTTAAAAGCAGTGTAAGGTTGGTAATTCAAACTCATTTAAATATCTCATCTACACTGCTTTTAAATTATGTAAATTGGAAATTTGCCAATAACTTTATTGTTAATAAATGCATTGGAAATTTGCCAACAATTTTAGTGTAATAAACTTCATTGGAAATTTGCCAATATACAATTTTGCTGATGAAGGTTTTTTGTTTACCTTTAGCCTTGACTATGAAGTCATTTTCTATTTTTATAGCCTTATGATGTAGTTGAATTATTTAATACTTTTATGATGTGTTTAAATGGGGTTTTATCATGTTTATGGTTGCAAATTTATTGTTTTAGTATAATAAACTCCATTTAAAATTTGCCAATAAAAAAATTTTTTGTTTATTTTTAGCTATGATTATGATGTCATTTTCTATTTTACTTTTATGGTTGCAAAGAAATTTTTATTTTTAGATATTACTGTTAAATGATGCTGATTAAGGTTTTTGCTATGTTTAGCCATGACTATGATGTCATTTTCTATTTTAATATCTGTTATGATGTATTTAAATGGGCTTTTATGGTTACAAAGGAATTTTATTTTTAGATATTACTTTAAAATGTTGCTGATGCTGATTAAGGATTTTGTTTATTTTTAGCCATGACTATGATGTCATTTTCTATTATAATACCTTTATGATGTAATTTCCATTTTTAGATATTACTGTTAAATGATGCTGATTAAGGGTTTTTAGCTATGTTTAGCCATGACTATGATGTCATTTTCTATTTTAATATCTTTATGATGTATTTAAATGGGCTTTTATGGTTACAAAGGAATTTTATTTTTAGATATTACTTTAAATGTTGCTGATTAAGGATTTTTGTTTATTTTTAGCCATGACTATGATGTCACTTTCTATTTTAATACCTTTATGATGTATTTAAATGGGCTCCCATGTATTTAGATTTTTGATTATTTATACATGTTACCAAATTGGTCCACATTGAACAAAAACGGTCCAAATTTCAACTTTATTACATTACATCAAACATTGAATTCTACATATTCTTTGATATATTGAAATTAACAAACAATTTAGTTTATGGATATTCCACCATAATAGGTAAATTAAATTTTTTCCAGTTCTTACACCACATTCATCCTGTGTCAGAAACCTATGCTGTGTCAAATATTTAATGACAATCCAAAGTCATAGCTGTATCAAGCTTGAATTTTGTGTCCATACTTGCCCCAACTGTTCAGGGTTCGACCTCTGCGGTCGTATCAAGCTGTGCCCCAGCGAAGCATTTTATTCCTTTTTACTATGCTAAAAACTAAGATTTACAGCTTACTATACAATTTGGGTTTTGCTCCTTATTGAAGGTGGTACAGTGTACTGAAGTTTGTATCTTTGTCCTATTATAGTCTTTAATAGATATTTTTCTCATTGCTAATTACAATGTTCTCCCCAGAGTTTGCAGGCTAATTAGAAATATTCAAGTATTTTATAAACAGTTGTATTAAGTATATATATATAAATACATATGTATTCGCTGAACTAGTATACATTATTGTTTAGGGGCTAGCTGAAGTGCGCCTCTGGGTGCAGAATTTTCTTGCTGTGTTTAAGACCCATTGGTGGCCTTGGGCTGTTTTGTGCTCTTTGGTCTGGTTGTTGTCTCTTTGAAACATTCCCTATTTCCATTCTCCATTCTATGTACATGTATAATTGTATGTCATTTTTTCAGTTATACCTTATTGGTTTGATGCTGCTAATGCTAAAGCAATATCTCATCATGGCAATACCTTGGTAAGTACTACTTTAATACAGGGGGTTAATGCTAAATCAATATCTCTTGATGGCAATACTTTGGTAAGTACTACTTTAACATAGGGGGTTGATGTGTAATGCAAATATACTTTGATTTCATTTGCATGTGTCTTAATATGGAGAATATGAATATTGTGTCCATGGGAAATTTCAAAATGCATTAATTACAATGTAGTTCCAATCAACAAACTACACCCCCCACACATGTACTATAACAAGTATAAAGTAAGACTATTTAAATGTGGTTCTGCCTTTATTTCTGGACAGTATTTGAGTGTTGTACATGTTATACATTCAATTTGATGAAGAGAAATTGTGGTTAAATCCTTTTTCTAAAAATAATGAGAATGTCATTTCATTCCTCTACATATGTAATATCCACCACATATACTTAACTGCAAACAGCATGAACAGAATTGTATGATTTGTCTGTAGAATTTTTGTAGAAAAAAAAAGTACAAAAATGAATTCTATGTAGTATTGATAATTTAATAGGTGTCTGATAAAAAGGACTACTAAGAACAAATGATTTGTACTATTTATTCAGAATTATCAAGGTAAAACTTAAAGACTTATCTTTTCTTACAACTAGGGGTATTCAGAAATCATAAGTTTCAAGATATTTTAATCTGATTAAACTACAGACCAGGCTTCACTTAAAAGAATCTGAAAACTCTTTCTACTTTCTGTTTTCAATAGGATGAAATTTCATTGGCTTATGTAATAATAACCAGAACAGAAAGTAGAACCAAGTGCTGTTAGATCCTTGAAGCTTTGGACACAGGATATATGTATTTCCATCAGATACTTATGTATGCAATTCCTCTGAAGTCTGTCATTGTTTGAGGATATTTAGTAGCATTTCACCAATTTTTAATTTCTACATTTTACAGGATTTTTACAGTGTGGTGGTCAGATAACAATATTCTTATATTTTTTGTGTAGATTCATATTGATGGACATGATGATATGGCACCACCTGTACATTTTCCAGACTATCCAACATTTAGTTGGCCCAAAACAAAGCAAGACTTCAAGTTGCTAATGCAAAGAAATGATGTCTTTATAATTGTAAGTTTATTTATGTCTTGGCTAAAAGGCATGTATAGGCATAAAGTTTCACCTTTGTCTATTGATATATATCCATTCATCATGTTCATAGCAACATTTATTTCTATTCAACAACATAAACTAGCTGTGTCACGATAAAAAAAACATTTGAAATTCTGTCGTAACACAGAACCACTGAACCATTAATAAAAAACATCAGTAAGCTTCCACAAAAACCATTTGCACAAAGCTAAGAAAAAAGCTATATTATAAATATATACATAAAAGGCTGTGACACCATGCCTTTGTTAAACATTTAGTTTTACTATTGAATGAACAATTGTGCTTTCAAAAGTTACTGTGGAATTAGGTCAGAATTTTATTATGATTAAACATGCAATCAAGTACTGTAAATTCAGAAATTATTGCGAGGTTTTTATTTATGCGAATAATGCGACTGGTTGAGTATCGCAATAATAAGAACTCCCATTATGATATCTGATGCATATATATGTATGCAGATTCTTCTGAAATCGCAATAATTAATCTCGCATTTGTGTACATTCTGAAAAAAATCTCAATAATAAATGCAGGCAATAATTTCTGAATTTACAGTATAAGATATCAAGATTTCTGTGATATAGAACACAGATTTAGCTTCATTTAAGAATTGAATGCTTCTTTTTGTAAATTTATTGGGGTGTTAAAGTGTTGACCAAAGTACATTTTGTATGAAGCGCTTCTGCGCTTCATTCTAATAAATGTGCGCATGGTCTACGCTTTTACAACCTTATAAAATTATTATGCAAAAAAGCTGTTGACTAGCATGACCTGAAATACTGATTTTATAAAATGTAATTTCTGCTGCAAAAGTAAACAAGCTATGAAAAAAACATCTCATTGGTGCATCATTAGTTTAGCATGATATATATTTATAAATTTTTATATTTTTTATTTTAATCCAATGTAAGAAATAACTAATGTCCTTCCTGACAAATCACTTATAGATTGTGAAAACAGAATAATTAGGCAAACCTTTATTTTTCTTGTAATGACAAACACTGGTGTAATTAATAATACTTTCTGAAATCAATAGTAAGGTTGTACCTTTTCTTGTAATGACAAACACTGGTGTAATTAATAATACTTTCTGAAATCAATCGTAAGGTTGTACCTTTTCTTGTAATGACAAACACTGGTGTAATTAATACTACTTTCTGAAATCAATAGTAAGGTTGTACCTAAGGGCTATTAAAAGTATTATTATAGCATAACATTACTTAAATATATATATAAATATTTATTCATGGCATTACAGCTGTTGAAGAGATTAATAATTGTAATAGTGATTCAACACATGTATTAATATTTTACTTCCATCTGACAATTTTAATATCCATGCTTTGATGATATGGGGGATTAGGTTTTCTAGTCTGTTTGTCTTTTAGTACAATGCATGTCCAAAATCAGGTTAAAGTTTTGTATTAAGGTTGTTTTTATACGACCGTAAAAAAATTTTGTGGTCGTATATTGGTATGACGTTGGCATCGTCGTCTTCGTCCGGTGTCGTCGTCGTCATCCGAAGACACATTAGTTTTCGCACTCTAACTTTAGTATGGATCTCTATGAAATTTAACCATAAGGTTTAATACCACAAAAGGAAAATGGGGATTGATTTTGGGGGTTATGGTACCAACAGTTAAGGAATTAGGGGCCAAAAATAAGCATTTTTGTAACTTCCAGACATAACTTGTGTTTAAGTGTATGGATCTCTCTGACATTGTACCACAAGGTTCCATATCACAAAGGGAATGCTGGGATTGATTTTGGGGGTAATTGCCTCCAAATTTTAGGAATTAGGGGCCAAAAAGGGGCAAAAAATAAGCATTTTTCTAGTTTCATGACAATAACTTGTGTGTAAGTGTATGGATCTCTCTGACATTGTATCACAAGGTTCCATATCACAAAGGGAATGCTGGGATTGATTTTGGGGGTAATTGCCTCCACATTTTAGGAATTAGGGGCCAAAAAGGGGCAAAAAACAAGCATTTTTCTAGTTTCATGACAATAACTTGTGTGTAAGTGTATGGATCTTTATGAAATTGTACTACTAGGTTCCATATCATAAAGGGAAAGCTGAGTTTGAGTTCGGGGGTAATTGCCCAAAAAGTTTAGGAATAAGGGGCCAAAAATAAGCATTTTTCTAGTTTCCAGACAATAACTTGTGTTCAAGTGTATGGATCTCTCTGAAATTGTACTGCAAGGTACCATACCACAAAGGGAAGGCTGGGATTGAGTTTGGGGGTAATTCCCTCAAATTTTTAGGAATTAGGGGCCATAAAAGGGCAAAAAAACAAACATTTTTCTAGTTTCAGGACAATAACTTGTGTGTAAGTGTATGGATCTTTATGAAATTGTACTGCAAGGTTCCATATCACAAAGGGAAAGCTGGGTTTGAGTTTGGGGGTATTTGCCCTAAAGGTTTAGGAATTTGGGGCCAAAAAGGGGCCAAAAACAAGTATTTTTCTAGATTCCAGACAATAACTTGTGTTCAAGTGTATGGATCTCTCTGAAATTGTACTACAAGGTACCATACAACAAAGGGAAGGCTGGGATTGAGTTTGGGGGTGATGAATCATAAGGGGGTTCAAAAAATTGGGGGGGGGGGATTATTTTTTCCTTTTCTTTTCTTTAAAATTTTCCATTTTAAATTAGTTATTTCTGATTTATATATAAAAGGAAATAATAATGATATGGTTTGAATAGGTAAATTAGAAATTTTTAAGTTCTTAGACCACTTTCATTCTGTGTCAGAAACCTATGCTGTGTCAAATATTTAATTACAATCCAAATTCAGTCCTGTATCAAGCTTGCATGTTGTGTCCATACTTGCCCCAACTGTTCAGGGTTCGACCTCTGCGGTCGTATCAAGCTGCACCCCAGCCATGTTCATTATGATTGCAAACTTTTTTTGATACATACCAAATTAGGGTTTTGATCTAGAATTTGTGGGTCACTGGTCATGTAAAACGTTTTGTTTTAGGTAGGCGTAAGTTTTTTTTTTTAAAGTAGTTGAACATGAAGTTGTGGTTATATCAGTTGAAAACTTAGAGCACATGCTTATTATGTTGTGAATCTTTTCTCTTTATTTTTATGTTTTAAAAAATATATGCCAAATTAGGGTTTAGATCTATAAATTGTGGCTCACTGAATTTGGAAATGTGGAAATGTGATAGTGGTAGCTATTGACTTGAATTCTAGTCTTGAGTTATTTATTAGAAATTAATATCCACAAAACCTCTTTCACATTCTAATGCTCTCTAGTATATCATGTATATCAAATATTTAAAAAAATGAAAATCAAATTGAAACTGTCCTTTTTGCAAAATTAATTAATCCAAATTAATTAGCATAACTGTTCATTTCTCTGCATTCCATCACCCTGTTGAGCCCCGTCACCTGAAAAATGTGTTAAACATTTCCCTCTCAAAATTTTGCTACTGAAAATGTCAAGCTCATTCTAGTGTGCCACAAAATGTTAAGTAAATATATAAATATAACTTACTTTTTTTAAGAAGTATTTTTGGTCAATGTATAGTTAGTATTTTCCAAAGATTTATGTATTAAAAAAACATAGCAAAAATTTGCATTGTCTATATTGTCTATAATAGTGTAATTGTATTGAAATTAGTGTAAGGTATAAAAGGAAAAACATCTGATCTGACAAGGATTCTATGCCATAGTTTTAATGTCTCTATTGGTCTGTAACTATGAAATATAGTCGTCAGAAAGGACAATTGAACAACAGCAGATATTAAGAGCATGATGCAACATTATTATATTTTAACTTATCACTAAATGATATTGATAGTACATTGTTTTCACGGCCAGTATATGAATCATCATACTAATCTCGTCCTGAACATGCATAAAATATTTGCCACTGGACGGTAAGCAATTAACAATCAATCTATCATACTAATCATGCTAATAAATCAAGGTATTACTTCTAAATTAATCATGAGATGCATGCATCTAATATATGTATCCAAATTCTAATTACTGTACACACATTTCAGGAAGCCATTATATCTGGACTGATCAAAAGAGTAATTTGGATATGGCCAGAATGGGACAAAAAGAATCATAATTCTTCGTATTCTGTCCAACACAATCAGATTGGAATAGCTAACGTAAAGAGGAGGGATAATACTCAGTATGAGGTTTTCTGTATATGTGAATTTCAACAAAAATCCTCTCTTTACAATTGCTACTACCCAGATTATGAAAGCGATAATGTTACTGCCATTTCAATTCCTAAAAAGAAATGTCGTATACAAAGAACCTATACTGTTGAAGAAATACAAGAAAATGTTGCTGTAAAATATGTGAATAACGCAAAATGGCTTTTAAATAATGAGGAAATTATTCTTGATTTGGATGAGGATTATTATGGATGTGTTTATGCATCTCAGCCTCTTCTTGACTTAGGAGTAAAGGAAGTGGAGCTGAAACACATAAACAATTATTTAGACAAACTAATATGTCCAAAATCTCTTGCTCAAGAACGATATGTAGACAATATATTGACAACAGCTTTAGACTTATTTAGACGATTTTATACTTGTCAAAACCCAAAACAACCAGTTGCAATTAACAAAAATTGTCCGAAGTTATCAAAAATTACGTCTGAAGTTAATGCATATCTACAGAAAATTTTATGGCAAAATAAAAAGATTCATCTCTGCTCAAAGCAACACCATGCTGTTAAATATGCCATCAGTGAAATCATACACTCTTTTCAAAAATTAGGTATAAGGCAATTGAAAGCCATGCAAAGGGTTGGCTTTTGTTTAAATACATCTCCAAAGACTTACAAAGTGACATTTCCCCCACGTTATGGCATATGCATGGGAGCTAATACACCTTCAGATTCGTCAGTTTTAATACATAATCCAACAAGAAAAGAGATAACAGAAAGAACAGCTACATTACAGAATATTTTAAAATCTTTAAAGACAAAATCTGTCAAATTTGTGACTATATGTAGATCATCACGAGATGGATATACTCCTAGACGATTTTTTAAACTCATAGAATCTGATATAATGGCATCACTTAATAAGACATTCAGCAATAACTGTGTAGCTCATTATGATGGAGGACTATTGGGTGGGATAAAGGGATGGATTTCAAGACCAAAAATTGTTATTAAACACTGATTCAGCAAAAGTATTTTTTAGATGATCTGGCATAATATTTGTTACTGTTCTATTTTTAATGATTTTTGTATTAAATACATGTTACAACTTAATTGTTTTATGCTTTGCGATTCAGGCAGCTGTCATATTAATTTTTCTACCAACTCTTCAAAAAGGCATGTTACTCTGTGAGGAAAATCTGGTGAGTACATGGATGAAGAAAATGTAAGATATTCTCTGTCTTAATGACAAGTTGCAGGTTGTCTCAATAATAATATAGAAAACACAAAAAGGAACAGGAGCTTAAGACTGAGCAACATGAAACCCACCAAAAACGGGGGGGAGTGATATCCTGCTCCACATGTGGCACCCATCGTGTTGCTCATGTTAGTACAAACCCAGTGATAAGTCTTACTTGGTTGGTCACATTGGGGGTAATGAGAGCAGGATTGTCGTCATCTGTGTAACAGATATTCTATAATGGTCAACCAACTTGTGATGGTGTCTGTTAAATTTCCATTGGGACTTTAAACTTCACAACTTGGAACTCATGGTTTAATATCTTCCTTGTAAGCAGCAACCCCCATCAAGGAAATCATGATAGAAAATGCAAGCTCTGGAATATTGTACCAACTAAATGATATACGTGTATACTCCATATGCAGGTCCTGTTGGAGTTGCTACATAGAAATGGAAAGTTTACAATAGGGAAGCTGAAATCATCTCTTTTGTCATAAAGTTTTGTTCTCAACCGACCCTCATTGTCAATTTCTACATGTAAGTATAGATATTAGGCAGGCTGTATCTGTTGTATCCTTTATTTCAAGTTTGATGGGATAGATGCATTCGAAAATCACAAAACTTTAAATTATCCAATGAAAGAAGCTCCTGTATGAACTTTGCCTCATATGAATACAGGAACAAGTCTGCAAGAAGAGGAGCACTGTTGGCATTACCGAGTACACAATACATTTTTTACTTCATCTGTACATCTCACAATGATTCTTTAGAAAAAAAAGGTGACCTAATACTTACAGTAGTTTACTGTTAGAAATTGACCATATCAGAAATAGGGAACATATATCAAAGAAAACCAATAAAAGCATGGAAGTACAAAGCACTTGTCAGTGGACATGACCTAATGGTAGGAATTTCACAATTGTAGTAGAAAACCAAACTTTATACTGGATTCTTGGTGAAAAGGGGTTATGAAAATTAAAGATGTGTAAATATACACTTTTTATCTCTCTTCAATGGATAGTTGTAAAATTGACAATCGTACTAGATTGCTTATGTCAGGTCAGATCACCAAAGGAAGAAAAATTGGAGTTTACTTGGCATCAAAATGTGCATGTTTTTTAACTTCAAAATCTACTTGTATTTCGAAAAAGGCTTGGCCTATTACCATAAGTAGAAGGATCTAAATTGGCCTATTATTTGTCATGTGACCCGTAGTTCAAGGTTTTAAATCCAGCTTAATATATCAGTCACTGTGCATAATATGATAATATAAACCAGGGTATGAATGCATTCTGGAGTGTACTTGTGCATACAGTATATCACAGGGTTATATTTTCCCTTTCATTGACCTTTGTTACATTTGATCCGACATGTAAACTTGAGTATGATTCCTAAAGCATTAATTAGGCCAAAGTTGCCTACATTTTCTGCCTTATGATTTTTGGTTAAGTCTGAATATGGCAACATACAATGTCATGGGATTTTAATTGATGTTCCTGGAAAGTTAAGACAAAAAGGAGGGTGTGAATGGGGTTTTACAGAATAGAGAATAATGGGCAAAAAATATAAATAGAGAAAATTGACCAATAAATAAGGAATAGAGAAAAATGAGGTGCTAAAATATCCAGAATAGAGAATAATGGGCAAAAAATATAAAGAATAGAGAAAAATGGACCAAAAAATAAGGAATAGAGAAAAATGAGGTGCTAAAATATCAAGAATAGAGAATAATGGGCAAAAAGTATAAAGGATAGAGAAGAATGGCCTAAAAAATTAAAGAATACAGAAATTAAGAACCTCCCCAATCCAGACCCTCAAAAAGCAATCAAAAGTAGGTCACCTTGAACTTCATTTTACCAGTCCATCAAAGTGCATATATCTTTCAATAAGCATAATATCCCCATGGGTGCATCCAGAAGTGTATGTCACTTTACAAACAAAAACTTTATTGACTTGGAAAAGTTTTATGTCTAATTTTTTATTTCAGTCATTATACACATAAACGCTTAAACTAGTGTGAGATTAAATCATGCAGTGAAGTTCAGCAGCCAGACAACAGTATTTAAGTATGACCTACTTTTAAGCTTCATTGACTATTTGAGTCCATATCTCTGTCACTATATAGGATAATGTAAACTAGTGTACGAAATACATGTACTACACATCATCTTGTCAAGTAGGTCAGCATTCAGACAAGAGTAGATAAGGGAGCTACCATTTGATTTTTAGGGGGGGTTGGGGTTTAGGGGTTAGGATGAAATTTGAAAAAAATAGGCAGGACAGGAATTTTGAGTAAAAAAAAAGGCAGGATGAGACACTTTGCAAAAAAAAAGGCAGGATGACAATTTATGTAAAAAAAAGTCAGGATAAAACTAAAAAAAAAGAAGGCAGGACCGAATAGAGTGAAAAATAAAAAAGGCAGGACAGAGATTACAACTAAAAAAAAAGGCAGGACAAAATTTTTCATCCTAGCCCCCCCCCCCCCCCCCCCCCCCCCCATAAAAATCAAATTGCAGCTCCCTAACTGTTACATGTAAGACAAATTCACACTTTTTTAATTTTCGATTGTTTGACACTGAATCATTTAAACATAGTGTAAGGTGATCTTCATATTTACAACTACTTTAAATTTTTGCAAGGACCGTTACATTTAAATCAAGTGTTTTGTAACGTATTGGCCTAGATTTACGAGGGGCGTAAAGGGGGGGGGTATCTGCACGGAAGAACGCGAAATAAAATTGCCATTTCACGATGAACGAACAATTAAAAATTTCTTGCACGTTGATCATTTTACCGATTTCACGAAACACGGTGAATAACGAACCCTTTTCACGGCTGCACGTGAAATAAAAATGGCAAAACACGTTGCACGAAAATAACCCTTTACCACCCTCATTTACGGTAAAGCTTTAAAATAAGACGAGGACGCAAAATATTCATATATGCCAAGAAAATAGTGCTTAAAATATTCATATCTTCATTTGTAACCAGGTACAAATGGGTACAAATGGTACATACTTAATATTTCCCTCTCTTGTATTTATATTTTGGTACAAATTGGTACAAGTGATACATGATTGTGAGAAATAGATATACATGATATAGTTTGTAACAAACTAGTAAAGGCCAGATTCTATAAAAACATATGCATATAAGTATGTCTAATTATATGTTTTAAAATAGACACCTTTGCCTATTTTACCTGTTACAATATGATTCAGGACAGTTATCTAACATCTCTTCTTATCATGTATCATTTGACATTGTTTTAATTATCACATTTTGCATGAAGATTTCATTACCTTTAATCATAGGTGTGATATTTCTTTGATCAATTCACACATGCTAATTGCTTGATGCCCCGGTGATATTTGAGGTAACATGATGCTATAGCTGGACAGGTACATCATTACTTGATTTTCTTAATTGTGAACAGATCAACATAATATTGTCCTTATTTGATATTACAGCAGAATTCATTGAGTGTGTAGGTAAAGGTAATATCTTTGGTTAGCTTGCTTGCTAGCTGAACCGTGAAGTCATTATTACGTTAGGTAAACTACCCTCCTTTAAGAGTAGACTAGTCCGACAGATAACCAAACTAACTGTCTGTAGGACTAGACTACTCCGAAAGGAGGGTAGTATACCTAACCTAATAATGACTTCACGGTTCAGCTAACAAGCAAGCTAACCAAAGATTCTAACCTTACCTACACACTCAATGAATTCTGCTGTAAAACATTAATTACTGTTAATAATGTATGTACATTTTTTGTAAGTAAGGTTAAAAATATATTGGATGAATATGGTTTTTCAAATATTTGGATTACTCAATGTTTTGGTAACGATATATAGTTAAAAAATGCACTAAAGTTGCGATTACAAGACCAATTCAAACAGTTGTGGAATACACAATTACAAGAGTCTGCAAAAGCAGTTAATTACAGAATTTTTAAGTTAGAAATAAATTTTGAAAAATATTTTGATATCTTGGATCTGCACGAAAGTATTATTTTATTTATATATAGAACCACAAACCACAGACTCCCAATAGAGACAGGGAGGTGGAATAATATTAATAGGAATGATAGAAAATGTCATCTTTGTAATATTGGTAGCATTGGAGACGAATTTCATTATCTGCTAGAATGTCCATTTTTTAACGACAGTAGAAAATTATATACCTTGAAAAATTCTATTTGGCTCGTGTTCACTAAAGTTTAGAAAATTGATGAGCAAATTAAACAAAAAGTCAGAGCTAAAAAGATTATGCAAGTTCATAAAGTGTGTTAATAAACATGTGGGTCATCCTGGCTAAAACGTATATTATTTTTAAACCACTGTATTGTATATAAATGTTTTGTAAATAGATGCATATTCATGTACATATTTTGCACTCTCTCTGTACCTATGTATCTGCAATGGTTATGAGAATAAAGATATAGTATAGATATGTGTTTTCGTGACTTTGCATCTTAGAAGAGCATACTAAAGAAGAGTAACAGTTTGAAACAGCGTCAACCTAACAAGGTAAGTTTTATTCTTTTGAAACTTTTTTATTACAAGATAAAAAATAGTAATAAATTGGATATAAAATTTCTAACATCACAACATAGAATGAACTTTTTTATTTCTAAACTTTTTTATTACAACATGTTATAATAATTATATATAAATAGAAATAAATTGAAGATAGAATTTTAAACATCACAACATTGAAGAACTTTTATATTTCTTGCCATATCTATATTGAAATAACATTTTACTGGTTACAAATAGCAATATCTAATCAAAGTACTGAAGTACTGAACATCGGATGACCGCAAGTTCTTGTGGATGGTCAAAAGCACTTGTCACAGTAAAAAATCACATC